ATAAGTTAAATTGATCAAGTGAAGAGCGATGAATTAATTACCACAACGTTGAAGCTTGTAGGATTTCAATTCAGAATTGTAGAAATCATCATTCCATCAACTCATTGATTATTCACTCATAATTAATCACATCTACATGCAGTATAAGAATATGAATCAAAAGTGAGAAAAAAAAAACATGAATTTATATATGGTTTGAGAGAAAGAACAAATAATTTTGACGAGATAACACTAATTGGCGGCACCCAACAGCGATGGAGGGAGTAGCATCAATCCAATTAATTGATAGAGGATGAGGAGAGAGATTTTACTTTTTGGTGTCGGGAATTTGTACAAGTGCAGTTGTGAGAAAAAAGAAACACAAACCTCTTTGCCTCAGTCTTCGGATTCGTATCCGTATCCATGGATGTCGTCCTGATTTATTTCGATGTGTGGAATGTGAGAAATCTTGTGCCAGTCAGGACCGCTTCCCTTGGTGCATCTTTCCTTTAACTCGTCTGGGCAGCCCCAAATTTCAAGTCGTTGAAGGGAGGACAAGTTGTTAAACCAGTCTGGCAAAGATTCCATTCCACTGAAGTCCACTATATTCAACTCCTTTAGAGCAGTGAGGTGTTGAATTTGTGGAAGGTGAGTTAGTTTTTCCCATCCCCTCAGGGTCAAATATTCAAGGGAGGCGGGGATGGAACTCAGACTTGGGAATTCTTCTGAGCAACAGCCGATCTCTAATCTCTTCAACCTAGTAAAGCAGCCGAGACTCTCCTCTAGGAAGCCCACAAATTTCGGACAACCTACAATGGTTAGAGAAGGCAATTCCTTCAACTCTCCTTGGAAAGAGACCAGATTAGGGCAATTTGTTATCCCCAGCTTCTCAACAGATGACAGCCCACCTGATAGACACTCTAACCGACAACAATCTTGAATTTCAAGTGTTTTAAGACAAGAAAGGTTTCCCAATAAAGCTCCTTCCACTCCATTGACGCTTTTGATAGTTAAGTTCTTGAGAGCAGTGAGGCGATCAATTTGATGTGGCAGAGTTAGCGATTCCCCCCATCCTTCCAAACGCAAGACTTCAAGGGAGGAAGTGGAACTCAGATCTGGGAATTCCTTCAGCTCTTCTGAGAAAGGGCCCAGCCCTAATTTCTTCAGGCTGGCAAGAGAGCCCAAGATCTCGTCTGGGAAGCTCCTCAATTTTCGACATTCCCAAATATCCAACTCAACAAGAGTCTGCAACTGTTTCAATTCTTCAGGAATAGAAACCAAATTAGAGCATTTCCTTATCTCCAATGTCTCCAGAGCAGTGCAAGATGGGAGCCCACTCGGTAGACGCTCTAATTCTTCACAATTGGAAATATCTATTATTTTGAGAGAGACAAGTCCTTCTAGAGGAATAAACTTCAATTTTGGACAACCCGAAAATCTCAACTCAACAAGAGACTGCAACTGTTTCAATTCTTCAGGAATAGAAACCAAATTAGAGTGTCCCCATATCGCCAATTTCTCCAGAGCAGTGCAAGATAAGAGCTCACTCGGTAGAGGCTCTAATTCATCACAACCGGAAATAGTTATTGTTTTGAGAGAGACAAGTCCTTCTAGACTTGGAATAAACTTCAATTTTCGACAAACGCTAAAAGCCAATCCAACAAGAGACTGTAATTGTTTCAATTCTTCAGGAATAGAAACCAAATTAGAGCATTCCTGTATCCGCAATTTCTCCAGAGCAGTGCAAGATGAGAGCCCACTCGGTAGACGCTCTAATTCATCACACTTGGTAACATTTAGTGTTTTGAGAGAGACAAGTCCTTCTAGACTTGGAATAAACTTCAATTTTGGACAATCCCAAAAATTCAACTCAACAAGAGACTGCAACTGTTTCAATTCTTCAGGAATAGAAACCAAATTAGAGCAATACACTATGATCAATTTCTCCAGAGCAGTGCAAGATGAGAGCCCACTCGGTAGACGCTCTAATTCTTTACAATTGTGAATAATTACTGTTTTGAGAGAGACAAGTCCTTCTAGACTTGGAATAGACTGCAATTTAGGACAGCTTTCCAGACGCAAATGTTTGAGACACGTGGAGCTTGATAGGCTATCTCCTATGCTATTTATCACCCAGCAATGCTGAATCTTGAGTTCCTCCAGAGATGATAATCCACTAACCAAAACTCTCTCTAACTTACCACACATGAATATGGATAATTGTTTGAGAGACGTAAATGCTCCATCACCATCACCCAAACTAGTTACTTCATCACAGTCGGAAACATAAAGCTGCTGAAGAGATAGAAGCCCACTGATATCTGGAATTCTGTGAAGCATATAGCACCTGGATATTGTCAGATCCACCAAATTGTTGAGTGACAACATCCATGATGCCAACTTTCTACCTCCATAGCCATCAATCCTTAAACTTCTTATATTTGAGGGGGGTTGGAGGCCTTCTAAGACATCTTCATCTTTATCTTGATTGCCTTTGCCTTTCGACCAATGAAAGTCCAAATCCTTGATTGCCTTCTCTTTTAACTTTGCTGCCTCCGCTTCCGATTTGCCAGTAACAAGATCAAGCTTACGGATCTCTAGTCTTCCTTTGAGTCCTCTTAAGCTTCCCAATTCTTCAATTTTATGTCCCTTTGTTGTACCTACAAAAAACAATGGCAATGTTTGTAGGTTGGTTAGTCTCCCAAGATTTGCAGGCATACGCTCTTCATCATAGAAATAAATATGCTTCAAGTTGATTAAATCTCCTATTCCTCCTTCGGGCATTTTAAGAGATCTGCAATTCATGAATCTAAATGTTTGTAGATTGTACAACTCGGAGACGAATTCTGGCAGTTTTTCTATTTGAGTTCCTGAAATGTCCAAGTACCTCAACCTCTTCAAGTTGCCAAAGCACGTCGGCAATTGTTTTGCATCACAAGCATCTGCAAGGCTGAGAACTCGCAACCTCATAAGATCCACTTGCACACCATTAGAAAAACTATGCTTGGAAAACAATGTCTGCAACTTTTTAGCAGTCTGCAACTTTTTAGCAACATCTCCTGAAATAGATGGCTCCATTTCCCTCTCATCCATTAGATTCAAATGCCTAACATCATGAGAAATATTGCTCCTAGGCCACTCCTCAACAATCAGCGTCTCAGATTTTGAAATTGACTGGACAAAATCATGAATCAAATCATGCATCTTACAAGATTCAACAGTCCCAGTTACATCATCCCTCCTTTCCTCTTGAAATAAGGAATATGATAACAAATATCTAAAATACTTTTCACCAATATCTTCCGCTGCCATATTACTAATTTCTTCAGGTGATTCAAGAAATCCCAGAGCCATCCAAAGTTGAATTAGCTTCACCCTTCCCATGACAAAATCCTTAGGAAAAATGGAACAAAATGCAAAACATTGCTTCAAAGCCAGTGTGGGCAAGCGATCATAGCTGAATTTTATTATATCTGAGATCCCTTCCTTTTCCAATGAATCCCAAACACGATTCTCTGTAATTGCCTGCCACTCCCTTTTGTCCCTCTTTTTCTGCAAAATAGCCCCTATAATACTTGCAACTAGTGGAATGCCTTTACACCTTTTAGCAATCTGTTTTCCAATTCCCTCTAACCCCTCAGTTACTGAATTGTCTCCAAATGCTCTCTGCTTGATTATACTCCAGCACTCATCTTCATTTAATTGCCGAGGATGATGGATGTGTTCATCAGTAAGTGCCATTACTGATGCAACATCTTCAAGCCGGGTTGTCACAAGCACCTTACCCCTACTCCCCTTATTTTCACTTATTCCCAACAAGCAATTCCTTAAATCCTCCCACCTCTGTCTCTCCTCATTCCAGACATCATCTAGTATGAGAAGATAATTTTTCTCCCTCAACTTCTCTTGTATTTTCTTCATCACTATATCTTTGCTTCCAAAATCACCATCACCACGACTACTTCCACCACAAGACTTCAACATCTCAATTAAAATCATTTTGACATCAAAATTTTCAGACACACAAACCCACATTTTATTATCACCAAAATGTTCTCGTATTTTATCATTTTTAAGCACTGCTTTTGCTATAGTGGTTTTGCCAAGGCCTGCCATACCCACCACAATCATGACAGGAAGGTCATGCTGACTACTTGAGTCAACCAACAAGCTGACTATTTTAGAGACATCTTCCTCTCTTCCATAAACTCGAGATGAAAGAAAAGATTGGGTCTCTCGGTCTGCCCTGCCTCTGGGTTCAGGAAGCATGTTTGCAAGTTTGCGTTGCAGTCCCAACTGACGAGCCAAGGAATTGATATCAGCAAGTCTTTTATTTAAATCCGCAACTCTATTAGCCATTCCCTGGCCAAATGGCAAGGGCAAGGAGTCAGGCAGAGTTAAGCGCCTGACCTTTGATTTGTTAACTTCTCGCTGCATACCTTCATAAGCGACCTCCTCCAGTATATCATCAGCCTCATCTGCAATATCTCGAAGTTCCTGGAGCCACAACTTCAGATCAAGGTGGCCACTGACATTCTTTTCGTCAGCATCTTGCAAGAAACCTCGGAGCATCGTCATTGTAACACGAAACTTTGTCAGGTCATTGTTCCATCCCAGTGCTAAATTGAACTGATCAGAAGCAACAGCAGTCACCTTCGACACAGCTACATCTACGAGAGAGGCAAGGATACGCGCACCCATCTTTGTTTCAATAGTTTGGAGAAGAGATTTGCTGTTGGAAGTCTATAGCAAAAAGAAGGAGAAGAATATAGTATATGCTGAAGACATATTGATGCAAGACTGTTAAAAAGAAAATATGCAGATTGGTTAATTGATTACTCCTAATACTTAATTTAGTGTTTTTATTTTCTGATTAATTACTAATTATCAATAATTGATGAGAGAGACTTGGTGCGTCAGGATTAAAAAAGTGAAAAAAAAATTTTTGTTTTATATTTTATGGAGGAATTGTTAGGTTAAAATCATGTATGTACGGAAAATTCTCCTTACGAGGGATTCCCGTTCACACCTACGATTTGAAAGCTACTGCCTAAAATTAATCCAACCGAGTCACTTACAAACCTATAAAACAAAAGAGGCGTTAAACATTTGGTTGGGTTTTTAATGGTTGTTTTTATTTGATATTAGTATCCAACATTCATTAAACTGAACTTGGGATTAATTAATGTTTAAATGTTACAACTATTGTAATATTATTAATAAAGGGAAATAAAAATATAAAATAATATAAAAATTTTATTA